GTGACGGATGACGGAGAATTAGGGTTCGATTCCGGAGAGGGAGCCTGAGAAATGACTACCACATCCAAGGAAGGCAGCAGGTGCGCAAATTACCCAATTCTGACACAGGGAGGTAGTGACAATAAATAACAATACCGAGCTCCAAGAGTCTGGTAATTGGAATGAGTACAATCTAAACCCCTTAACGAGGATCCATTGGACAGCAAGTCTGGTGCCAGCAGCCGCGGTAATTCCAGCTCCAATAGCGTATATTTAAGTTGTTGCAGTTAAAAAGCTCATAGTTGGATCTTGGGCTGAGATCAACCGGTCCGCCTTCATGGTGTGCACCGGCCGTCCCGTTCCTTCACCCGACGATGCGTTCCTGGCCTTAACTAACCGGGTCGTGCCTCCGGCACAGTTACTTTGAAGAAATTAGAGTGCTCAAAGCAAGCCTACGCTCTGAATACATTAGCCAGGGATAACATCACAGATTTCGGTCCTATTGTGTTGGCCTTCGGGATCGGAGTAATGATTAAGAGGGACAGTCGGGGGCATGGGCATTCGTATTTCATAATCAGAGGTGAAATTCTTGGATTTATGAAAGACGAACCACTGCGAAAGCATTTGCCAAGGATGTTTCATTAATCAAGAACGAAAGTTGGGGGCTCGAAGACGATCAGATACCGTCCTAGTCTCAACCATAAACGATGCCGACAGGGATCAGCGGATGTTGCTCTTAGGACTCCGTCGACACCTTATGAGAAATCAAAGTCTTTGGGTTCCGAGGGGAGTATGGTTGCAAGGCTGAAACTTCAAGGAATTGACGGAAGGGCACCACCAGGAGTGGAGCCTGCAGCTTAATTTGACTAAACAGGGGGAAACTTACCAGGTTCATACATAGTAAGGATTGACAGACTGAGAGCCCTTTCTTGAGTCTATGGGAGGTGGTGCATGGCCATTCTTAGTTGGTGGAGCGATTTGTCTGGTTAATTCCGTTAACGAACGAGACCTCAGCCTGCTAACTAGCTACGTGGAGGTATCCTCGACGGCCAGCTTCTTAGAGGGGCTATGGCCGTTTAGGCCATGGAAGTTTGAGGCAATAACAGGTCTGTGAAATTTCTGGGCCGCACACGTGCTACACTGATGTATTCAACGAGTATATGGCCTTGGCCGACAGGCCTTGATAATCTGTCGAAATTTCATCGTGATGGGGATAGATCATTGCAATTGTTGGTCTTCAACGAGGAATTCCTAGTAAGCGCGAGTCATCAGCTCGCGTTGACTACATCCCTGCCCTGTCGCTCCTACGAATTGAATGGTCCGGTGAAGTGTTCGGATCGCGGCGATAGAGGCGGTCCGCCGCTGGCGACATCGCGAGAAGTCCATTGAACCTTATCATTTAGAGGAAGGAGAAGTCGTAACAAGGTTTTCGTAAGTGAACCTGCGAAAGGATCATTGAAGGATGCCCCAGCAGACAGACTGGCGAACATGTGGAGAGAATGCAGTGGTGGAGAGCCACGCGTGGCCCCCACCTTTGAGGTCCGCCAGAGGCTCAAAACAAAACAGAAAACCCCAACGCGTCAAGCATCAAGGAAATGGATCACGGCGGAAATGTGGGGAGGCACCACGTAGGGGGACGCTCGGTCCCCTTGCAGCGCGCCCCACCACTCCGATCGCGTGTCAAACACGACTCTCGACAACGGATATCTTGGCTCTTGCCTTGATGAAGAACGTAGCGAAATGCGATACTTGGCATGAATTGCAAATCCCGTGAATCATCGAGTCTTTGACATGGAACCCACCAACTCTCGATGCGGGGGGTCGATTGTGCGATGCACTTCTTCCCTTCTCTACCAGATAGTGATTCCTCAAGCGAACACTAAAGAAAGGGCCATTAGGGAGAGTGGGGACTGAAAATGTGCGTGTTTTCCTCCTACGGGGGTCAAATTTGCTATAAGCTCAGACAGGTTGGAGTTGGACCACAATATGAGCGAAGAAGCTTAACCAAAGCCAATTTTTCAGGGATAAAGAGATATGAAGTGGAAGACAGAGATGTGTAGAAAGAACATTCACTGGCCACCAAAGGGGTCGAGGGAAGCAAAGAGGGAAATTATGTCAGATCCGGCACGCTTGGTTTCTGGAGAGAGACTGAAGTTGTAGAACCAGATGCTGTGTTTTTTTCCTTCAGCTGACTTCTCTGAAAGGATTGGGTAATGATTTCGAAGCTGACTAATCTATTGACTCCCCTTTGCTTGCGCTCTCATCAGCAGTCTCTGGGAAGTTCATGGTTACCAGATCTACTTCACTAGGATGTGTGGCCGAAGATTCACCTGGTACCCAAAAGAAGGATCCCTTTGTGAACAGGGGTGTGCTACCTGCCATAGCCCACTGATCCCATTCCTCCTTTCTCAAAATCCATGTGAGAGTAAGGGGATAATATGTTGCATGAGACTAGGACGTCTCTGTTTAAGCCCTAAGGATTCATAGCTCACTAATAAGTATTATTACTCAAGCCATTGGAAATTTCAGCGACGAGGTCTAGTGATGATCCATATGGATGATCACAAAATTTAAACCACAAACAAATAAAAAATCATATCTGTACAAAGCCCAAAGAATTGGTTGTGCAAGCTCACTCCTACTGAGCAACAAAAGTAAATTCTAATTCTATTTTTTTCGGTAAGCAAATTCTATGATATGCCCTAATTCCTTAAAACACAGCCCAGTGGACTGAAAAGACATAAGGAGAGCTTTTCACACTATGTATGCTAATAGGTAGCCTAACTATAAAGACATTGGTCATTGACTAACCTACAATCACCAATTAACAACCAACAGCCCTTATCTGAACTAGAGTGCCCCATTTAGAATAAGAGAACTTGAGCTTCAAGCATCAAAAAGGAAAAAACAATAAAGAGGAGTTTCAGAAGGTTAGTAGTAAGAACCACTCTTAAACAGGGGTTTATTATTTACAATTAGAGGAACTGACCTGCTTTCCAGGATAATATGTTGAAGCCCCTCAAAAGGTATAAGAGAGAGGATATCCAAACATAATCATGGCAGCCACTTACCAACAAACACCAACCTTTTAAATATCCATAAACAAGCAACAATTACTCTTCTTCATCAAACTCCAAGCAATAGCTCATATTTTACAGAGAACCCACATTATACTTTCCTTAATCAATTAAAGGGCCGTAACCCCATGCTGGTCCCGCCTATGCAGGGTCTTGGGAGGGGTGAGCTAGAAACGATCCTAACCTTTGGCTTTTTGTGCACAAAGTTGTCGCTCTCAGGACTCAAAACCGCGCTCTTACGCTGTCTACCCAAGCTTTTACCGTCACACCAAGTGACGGCCCCTACTTCCCTTAATCAATTAAACTTCCAATTCCCTGAAACAAGCAATAGCTTTGTTCCCACTTTGATCATGGGCACCACGATTTGTATGCTTCATTCTGACCTTTAATTCCCCTTAAGAGAACAGTACTTTCAATCCTTTAGCATATGACCACGCACAGTTGAAAGCATTCATTCTTTGTTTTTATTTTTTTCTTTCTTGAAATTGAAAGGCATCAATTCTCAAGTCAACCTCATCAAACTACATGTTCTGCTACACGTCATATCCTAATTCACATTAATATTACAGTAACTTCATAAACTAAACTTTGTCATTTTCACCCTTGTTATCCATTGCTCCTTCAAATACACAAACTCTATAGTTTCTAGTCGGCCTCTAATAAGCAGTTAAGTTAGATTGGCTTCAGTCATTGGTCAAATCTTCATACTTCCGAAGCAGCAAACCATTTGATAGATCCATAATTCTTCCAATTCAGAAAACCCAGCAGTTCGTACGAATGGTCAAACTTGGACACAGAGTGTCAGCAGAGGCAACCAAACAAAGGGTCTACTCAATCTATTTGGAACTAGAATGGATATTTAAAGAAGTGAATCATTCAATCACATGCTGAAGTAAAGAAAAAATGCAAAGAACATTGATAGCAAATTGTGAAAGCAAGGATGAGCGTCAAAACTCAGGTATGAGAGGCTGGTGATCACAGAGCTCGGATTTTCTAGGAACCATTTTTGAGAGAGAAGCAAATGATTAGAAAGCTTAGAAGTCTCGGTGATTTTGACTATGTAAATCCTTCTCTCCAACCTCCCTTGTATATAGGTAAAATGGGAGTCCAACATTCCTATTCTCTCAATGGGTCTATGAGCAACAGCCCTCCTAGAAATCAAGGATGTGTTTATCCTCCCAACAACTTGACCATTTGCAAAAAAAAACACTTAAAAAATAATTAGTCATATGTGATATGATATTTGAGGAAAAATTTTATAAATGGATAACCATTAAATATTTCCATGGGATTCTCCCATGGAAATAGAAAGGGCAATGTGAGGCCCCATGGCCAGACATGCCAACCAAAAACTACTATAACAAACACAATAGAGCGAGATAGAGGTATATCAGCCATAAAAATAAATACTAAGGAACAAACCATAACATGCGTAATAGACATTTTGTACGGATAAATAATTAAGACCAACCAAAATGATTCAGTACTTTGCAAATAAATGGCAGCACCAAGCAGTGTTGAGCAAGTAGAAAACAGAAACAATACCAAAAGAAATAGAGGAAGAGGAGGGGGGGGGGGGGGGGTGGGGGTGGCGTTTTGAATCTCCCAGATATAACTACTAAGATCAAACAAACATAATGGAATCTACATTTTCTCAAAGAAACATTCCAAAGACCAAGCAACAAGATGTGCATTTCCAAATGAATGGCCTTAATATGGAAAATTGATCACTAGAATATCAATTACATAGAAATACCATTTAGCTTCCAAAAGCTACATATCTTCGACATGATACACGTTCACCAACACAAAATCAGCAGGACACAATAATAAAATCTTGTTACATTAAAACCAAATAATAAATGAGAGAAAATGACATCATAGATTGATCATTGTGAAGATTGAGATTACAAAATATAGAGGACACGTAGCTGTTCTCCTTACCACAAAAAGGCTGCAGTCAGTTTTTTGGGAGAAGAATTCCAAAGAAGTTTCACCACCACTTTCGAATGGCCTGATGTTTTCATTCTTCCGAGTGTATCTGACAGCTCCCCCATTTGCCTTTTTTAGATTATATATATCACCAAGAACCTCATTCAATACTTTACTAGTCTTTGTGCCCTGAAGTATGAGTGTTTTCTTCGCATTTTCCACCTGCAATATGCAAAACTCTTGAGAAGCACAACCTTCTTTCTTGTAATGGAATTAGACAAATAACAGGTAAAAAAGGAATAACCCAATTCTTCTAATTCCCCATAGAGTTCCAAACAAAATACAAACAAATGGATAACAGTCATCTGATGATAGGAACGCACATTTGAAAGAAACCAAATTCTTCATTAAAAACACAGAAGACAATCACCATGTACAGCACAAGTTCCATAATTACCATTCAATAATTCAAACCAAACAAAAGCTAAGAAAAATTGACAGTTTAAAGTCCTTTAAAGAGAAAAGTAGCAATAAAACTAAAACTTGTTATAGAGCGAATTTTCTTATTATAAATCCGCTATGGCTTACCAACTTTGGGGCACGCTTTTCGAGTGCCCTCACTGCTCTCTTTGTTTTGGGGGTCACCACTTTCAACATGATTCAAACACAGTGAACCACTGCCATGAAAAAACAATAAGCCATCCAAAATTACAAAGAATTTGTCGAAAAAAAAAAAGAAGGTACAACTCCAACAAAATAATCTCCTCTCTTCCATGAATCCGTCAAGACTTTGCCCCATTTTTCAATTTTTTCAGTCTTTTCTCAGGATTTTGTATCCCTCTCTCTCATGGAAAAACACTATAAATTGAAGAGCCATTTGAAAATAAAAACTTTGGAATTACCCAGACCAATAAAAACCAGAATACGCACAGACAAGGAGAAGAAACCGATCTAAAACTTCTCTCCGCTTTCTGAAACTAGAAATGAGTAATAAGTACGTTAGGGTTTCGTTAGGGGTTTCTGAGCAACCAAACCCCTCGCCCCCTCGGTCTGTCTCTCCTTTCCAAAAAAAAGAGTGTGTTTTATGTTGGGGAAAAAATTATAAAGGTAAACTTACAAAGTTAAAATGTAAAATTAAGGTGCACGTTAAGGTCCCGTTTGGAGAGGAAGAAATTAGGAATATTAGATATTCGAAATCCCGAAAATCTATGGATTTTCAATATCTTTTGTAAAAAGGTTCTTTTAATGTTAAAAATTTATTTAATTGATAATCTCGCCATTCAGATCTATATATATGAAAAAAAAAAAAAAATTCTAGCCCTAAAGACAATATATCTTACAACATATTATTTAGACACCCTATTTTCAACATTTTTGAATAATTTTATATCTACTTGATTTGAATTATTTTTAAAGTTAAAAATTTATAATTAGAGATAAAAATAGATTTTTACAACTTAAACGCTAATTTGATTGTTTAAGGTTGCAATGTTATGCAAACCGCACCTTAAACTGTTGGCTTTGAGTTTTGATAACAAGAAAGACATATTGATATTTGCATGATCACTAGGATAGTGTGGTTGAAGGATTATCAATGTTCAATTCAAGGATAGACGGCGATGAGAGGATGGTTGTGATCCCTTCAAGCATGTTAATTCAGTGGTATGTCCCATGTTCCGGCTATCATAACCCTCAATTGAGGAATAGTGATGAGCATGTATCTTTTGTTGCAATGAGCACAAGGATTACAATGCATGCATTTCTTCTTCTTTTGTAACAGTAACTTGAGACTCTGGTGGAAATGGAGTCTGAGACCTCTTTCTTAATCATACATGCATTTCATTCATTATTAATCCCCTTGGGTCTAAAAAGGTGTGGTCGCCTAGCTTAGACAATTAAAATAAGATGCACATCCTTCAAACATTGTTAGAAGATGCAATTTCGGCATTACAAAGTCTTACAATAGCTTGAAAATTATTTCCAACCATAAGAGAAATGTTAACCTAAGTCTACAATGAAAAGGAAAGATGTACCTAAACTTACATGATAAAGTACAATTCAGTGCTTGAAAACTCTCAAAAACTAATTATTTTAACCTCAAAAAGTATAGATTTGAATAAGAATTGACAAGAGTTGGACGGACAAAGTGGAGATGTGCCTCTGGAGTTTATATGATTGCCACAAACCATTGACATTGAAGGAGAAGTTCTATACGACTGCTGCAAGACCAATCATGCTTTTATGGGACAGAATGTTGGATGATCAAGAAAAAAACATATCCATAGGACAAGTGTAACTGCGATGAGGATGTTGAGATAGATGAGCGGTAAGATGAGAATGATGGAATTCGAAATGAATAGATATATGGGAACTTAAATGCGGCTTCAATAGAAGATAAGATGAAAGAAAATAGAGTTAAATGGACAAGCCATATGCAACATAGACCTAATACAATACTGGTTAGGAGGTATGTTTTGGTTTAAGTGAAAGGCTCTAAAAAGGCCTAAAGAGATATATATAGAAGTAGTAATAAATATATTGTGACTTTTCATCATAGCAGTTTCAAAAAAATCGTCAATCCAAATAAGAAATTACGCCCGTCTTCCCCTTTGGGGAATTTATGCGACATGCCTATCTTGCACAAATTCCTGGTAAAAAGAGATCAGTCCTAAGCATTTTTTTAGGGGTGTTTGCTCCTTTGCACTCCTGATGTGGTACTATTTTTCACTTGCCTCTTCATCTTTAAGTTTCTTGGTTCCCATTTTCTTAGTAAACATCAATATTTTTTTTTTAACCGTTTAACAAACTACCACTTTTTTAATAAACTTTATTGAATGTTAAATGTGGGTGTTTTTTATTTTAATGTTGTTATCTTGATAAATGTTGCGTTTTTTCTTTATTTGTACGTTTAATAAGTAAATGTTTTAGTAAATAATAAACGCTAAATGTCAGGTTTGAGTAGGCAAGATCCCTTATTTTTACAAGCGCAATCGATACTGAACTTTATAAAAATATTAAAATAAAAATTTTGAGTTAGAATGATCCATTAATAATTGAAATGCGCGGCATTTTAATTTATATTTTGACTATAAAATGGATGTAGTAGTTAGCACACACTCAGACATGAAACCAATTCTCAGTATGTACATATTTTCAATGAAATAATGAAAGTTTTATAATGCAATACACCAATTTCTTTGAAAACAAAAGAAACTATATGTTTAAGAAGAGTAATGATTCTAAGAGACCCTCCTATACCTATGTGTATAGGACCTCAAATGATCACCATTACATTTGGCACAAATCTCTAGAAAAGTTATCATATGGGTGTGGAACTTGACTTTTCTAAAGAGATGTGTCAAATTTAATGGTGATCCCTTGGGGTTCTACACACATGAGCGTGGGAGGGTCTCATAGGATCATTAATATTTTAAGAAATATTGGTTTCTTTTTTTTTTTTAGGGCCGAAACTTCCTGATTCATCCAATTTTCCAATCCAATCTAGGTTTTAGGGTGGCATATAAAGGTCACTGATCCATTTTTTAAACCACGCTTGATAGAGAAGAATGAAGGAACTGGATTCATGAAGTCCACCTCAAATAATTGGGATAAGACTTGGATGACATTGATGATGAATAAGAACTGACTTAAGACATAAGAATATTGTATCTTGTCATACATTATCTACGTCTTTCATTTTCAAGTATTCACAAATCAACTAGATCAATACTATTTTTAGAGCTTCCAGTTTCATAATTAGAGGCAACAATAGAATTGAAAGGTACTAATTGCAGGATCGAACCAAGCACCGAATGGTGAGGGTTCTAATTAAGTCAAATTGGTCTAAAAGCTATTTGAATCGGTTGGACGAGGTTTTAAAAATATAAAAGAAAATATGAATGATACTTTAAAAATAAAAATATATATTTTTTTAAAATTGCCCAACTTTGTTGGGCTAGTCTAACCAGTTAAAACTTGATGGCTGCTACTAACCAAAGCCAGTCATGCATTAATTTTGACTATATTTGACCATATTCTATTTTTTTACTCTGGGCCATACTGACCAAGGCACAGGTTTGTAGTCTGATCGATCATAGGAGCAAGTCTAGTCTGGTCTTAATAACTAGGATTTCATGAAACTATAAAATGTTTTCATCACCAAAACTTCATTTTCTCCTTGGTTTTTGAGGTGTAATTATGCTTTTTGGCACAATATCACAAAGTCGATGCCTCTTGCTGACCACACCCTATAAATAATTGTCCATTTAGCGATCCATCCTAATTTCAATGCTTATGTTTCATAGATCCCTTAGCTTGAAATACTCATAAAATGATGAGTATTCTCCCAAGGCAACCTGGACTAACATATCAAGATCGTTACCCTTCATAATACAACAATACCAAGTGGGGTTGTATATCATGAGACCATTTACGTTTGGTACAAGGTAGGCACAATTAATCTTGACCATCGGATGTGAAGTTGGGTGGCTGCATTTATTCCATTCACCAAACTCAAAGTTCAACAAAAAATTTCTTGAACTTTGTGACACACCCAAGCAATTAGATTTCCGGTCGGATGGTTGCAAGTAATTGTGACCTCCATGTACTAAAGATAAATAGTATCATTATATTATACTTTTTCATGCCAAATTCTCCAAGAATGGAAGTACATGAACATGTCAAAAATAAAATAGAGGCACGTTAGATTGTCACCTCACTGCTTTTGTGAATGAATATTTATGCTCCCATGGGAGTATATAATGTATACTTACTCCCTCTGGCAGAAAAAAAATTGGACTGAAATTTTGGAAATCACCTAAATATCACTAGATGACTATGTAAATAAGAAAAAACTTGAATTGGGAGTTTTTCAACGCTTGGATATCACCCTTCCAAAATTGGACAGTTTACTTTTAATCTCGAGGCATTATTTTTTTGAAAAAGTATACAATGAGGTTATTTATCTTTGACGCAAGGTGGTCACAATTAATCTTAAACATTGGATGTGAAATTAGATGGCTACACTTATTCCATTAACCAAGCTCAAATTCAAAAGAAATTTTCTCAAATTTTGTGCCATACCCAAGCTATCAAATTTCACGAGGAATGATGGTTGCAAGTAATTGTGACCTCTTTGTATCAAAGGTAAATGGTCACGTTGTATATAATCCCTATTTGAGAAGTGATTTCATGCAATCGTTGTACTATAATAGAATGCAACGATGTGTTGGCATAATTTAAGCTATTAGATCAACTACAATCCAATGGCTGAGGTTGAACTTTGTCTACTTTTTTAAATTAAAAAATAATATTTCTAATTTTGAATTCAAAATCCGTATTTCGCTCTGTTTCTCCCTCCCTCACATATTCTCTTTCTCCTACCCTCTTCTTTCTCTTCCTCTCCTTCTCTCCACCTTTTCGTCTCTAATCTAGAGATCCCGCCCCCTATTCCTCCCCAAAGGAACGGAGCTACCCATATGAGAAGGCCATGGATATTCATCAAGGAGGTAATGATTTGCATGAAGATTCAAGGTGAACCTTTCACTTTGTTTTTTTTTGGTTTTTTTGCT